TGAATTGAGTAGTCAAAGCTGGGGGAAAGGTATGTGGGAATCATACCATTCTTTCTACTTTGGTGTAGATTTCAAATTTGCCATCAATAACAATTTTTTGAAAGGAAAAAAATGCCTCAAAACTAGATGTGATGTCCCTATACCCCAGAGAGGCTGACTTTATGATGGGGACCACCAACCTGCACTTTGAGGTGGTCTTTGGCTGCTGAGAGTTTGAAGTAAAAGTATGGGCAGAGCAGGTGCAGTGCAAGGGTTTCTTGCACTGCTCTGTTGGAGAAGTCTCTCTCTCAGATGTATAGAAGTTGTGACATCAGATGGGGTATAAACAAAGAGCATCCTGAATGCTTGGGCTGCTCTGGAGTTCCAGAGACCCTGAGTCTCTTGCCCAGGAAGTCAGTAATAACAGAAGTTGGGCCCAGCACTACTGATTATACCCTAATGAAGCCCATACTGGAAGGAGACCTTGGCTGACATCAACCTGACTCTCTGAGTGGACAGGATACCATTTGGGAACTTGGCCTCCAGACTCTTGAAGACAATGTTTCCTGTTGGCATGTGATGGAAGTCCAACTCATTTTATGAGAAACAGTTTAAGTTTCTCATCAAATGTTTAATCTAGGGAAGACTTGTGGGAGTTGGGGAGTGGTAAAACAAAGGAAAATCCAAGAAGGGTTTGGTGGGCAATACAAGAGGACCAGGATAGAATCCTAGGTTTGTCAGACTGCAGAGTCTTTGCCTTACCAGCAGTGAGACTGGAAAGGAAGTAATAGGTAATAAGAGAAAAATTAATATGCCTTTGTGACTAGAATATACTTTTTCATTGTTTTATGCATTTCTTGACTCAAATCCAAAATGGATTTAAAGTCATTTATAATACAGGATATGCATGGAATAAATCTTCTAAAATAAAGGTTAAAAACTATTTACTTTTCCAAACTCACTTTGCGTGTCTCTTTCTTCCTCTTCAGATATCATTATTAATTCATTTTCTTTTATATAAGTCCACTGTAGACTCTGGCTACAAGTGATTGCCCAGGGGGCTTCAGTGTCAAAATCTTTTCATCTCCAAATGTCAATTATATTACTTCCTTTTTTAGTTTTTAAAAATGTATTGGGGTGACATAGGTTAATAACATTTATAGGTTTCAGGGGTATGATTCTCTAATACATCATCTGTAGACTCACATAACGTCAGGAGAATAACTAAACTGACAATAATGACTGTGGCAGAGTTTGATCACAAAATTTAGTTGTTTGTACATGCTTACATTCATAATTTCTCTATGAGCAGCCATGATAGTTGCCAGATTGAGTCCAGTATAGAAGTGGCAGCCATCAACATTACTGACTACAGGAAAGTTTCTGTTACAGCAGTAACAGTGGTATAAATAGTGGTACCTAGTGTTTTGTGATATCAAAAGAGGTCTCCTCACCACACCAGTTGTGCAGTGAATTTTTGGTTGTTGAACCTGGAAACAGCCCCATGCCTCTTTCTCCAGGCCTCATGATGATGCTGTTAGCTTCCAAATATCCTTTCTTCCAACTTACTTTTTATCAAAGTTATTTTATACACAGTTAAATATAGAAATCTTAACTGTACAGGTCAATGAATTTGACAAATGTATACAGTGTGGGACCAACATCACAATCAAGACATACAACATCATCATCACTCCGAATGCTGAATGATGCTGAGTTTGTGCTGAATCATATTTCTGTTGAGAGTCAGAAATGCTCACATCCTGCTCATATCCTCAGACACAAATTAATATACTTTCAGCTTTTAACACATTTTTTCCATTGGTAGATGAGGGACATTTTGCATGGTCTAGATGATTTTTTTTAAATGTCAGTGTTTATTTGTTTCTGTATAGAGTTAGTAGTAGAATTGTCATAGACCAAAGCCTCCACCAAATTCAACATTGTGTTGTGTCCAGAATATTTATTTTCTGGCTAAGAGTCGCTTTCAGTTGCATAACCAAAGTTCATTTTATTATAAATCTTCATTTTTTCCTTTCCTTCTTTTTTTAACCTTTTTAAAGATTGCTCTTAGTTGGTTCTTTTAAGGACCATTATAGCACACTGTTTTAACCGCGTTTCAACAACTCAAGGTTATGAACAGGATTAGAGAGCATGGCATCTTCATTAAGATGCTGCACAAACCAAGATGTAGATGTTGGCCAAAGATGACAGTTGCCACACATCATTCGTATACTATAGTCCACGCAAGAGATGGTGCTAATTTGGTCTAGAGGAGGGGTTGTCAAATTATAATCCCACAGGCCAAATTCTGCCTCCTGCCTCTTTTTGTAAATAAAGTTTTATTGGAACACATCCACACTCTCATTTAAGTGTTGACTGTAGCTGCTTTTGCTCAATAAACATAGAATTGAGTAGTAGCAGACAGAGAATGTATGCACCCCACAAAGCCTGAAGTATTTATTATCTGACCCTTTACAGAAAAAAAATGCCAATTCTTGGCCCCTAGTGCTATCAGGGCAAGCGGAGACAAATAGATGAGCAGATTGTATTATTGGAAGTAGAGCAGGAATAAGCCTGGCATGTTCTAGAAACACAGGAAGGCCATAAACGGATCCAGATACTATCGTTTCTCCCCTTATTTTGTACCTGTTGATATTTATTTGGACATTAATTCACTCATTCAGTGAATATTCTTTAAGTTCCCACTGTGGGCCAGACACTGTTAGCTGCTTCTCTCTCTCTCTCTCTCTCTCTCTCTCTCTCTCTCTCACACACACACACACACACATAAATCGTATAAGGGGAACCAACAAGTAAACAATTACAACACAGAATAGTAAGTGCTAACTAAAAATAAGGGGGAAAGGATGCAATTGATACAGAGGAGGCAATACACTTTTCTTTTACCACCTAGTCAGCATCTGCTATTACATGTAACCTTCCTCAAATTATACCCGAACCACATCTCTTCTGGTTGGTCATGCCTCCCCTCCTTCAGTCACTAAACTACATCATATAATAGTAATAATCATCATCATAGCAGCTAATCCCCATTGAGCATTTACTGGGTGTAAGATATAGCCAGGTACTGGACACACATTGTCTCATTTACTCATCACAATCCTGATATAAATATTACTATGCCCGTTTGTGAAATAGGAAATCAAGGGTCAGAGAGGTGAAGTCCTTTGCTCAAGTTCTCATGTGTGTTCCACAAAGTAGCGCTCAGGGCATCTGCTATTTTCTTCCTCCTCTGCTCTGGCTTGCTGCTGATGCCTAATGTTAAGATTGCTGCTTGATGGTATCACCTACCGAAGGCGCCAATACCAACCAATGTGTATGCCAAAGTCTTATGTCTAGAGCATTAATGCTCAAGTCCAGGGTATTGTTTCTCATAGATGCTAAATATCTGGGAACAATGACCATATTTTGTGAAAGAGTTCTTTGTAGTTTTTACTTGTGCTTTTATTACAGTTCCTGCCCTTGGGTCTGGTGCCAAATTACCTAGGTTTGAATCTCAGCCCTGAAACTTAAGTGCTGTGTGATCCTGGCGAAATTGCTTAACTTCTTCATTCCCCAGTTTCCCTATCCTTAAAGCAGGAATAACAATATTATCTACCTTTAGTGTCTGTTATAAAACACTTAGCCCAGCGTTATTGCGAAGAAAACTGGCTTCTTTTTCCAACTCTTAAACAGGCCTCTACCTATCAACCTCTTGCCTCTTTCTGGGTACTTTCTATCTGTTCATTTCACCTTACATTTATTGATCTTATTTACTTTAATTGCTACTGTCATGCTCCTTCCTATTACAGGAACTTTGATTATGCTGTTCACTGTCTGAAATGTTCCTTTTCCTGTTTGCCTGGCCAATTCTTATGTGTTCTTTAAACTCCATAAGGGTGAGGACTCTACCTGTTTTTGTTTGCCATTTTACACCTAGTTTCATATGGCACTTGGTGCACAGTAGGTCCTCATTAACGTTTGTTGCATGAAAACCGACCTGAGTCAGCCTAGTAGCTCACCTTACTCAGGTATTGCTCTGTATATTAATTCACATCCTAGCTACAGCTTTCTTTCTGTCTACTCACTGGTTCTAGACAATTTTCAATAAATAAATAAATGCTATATGTTAGGTTCTGGGCTAGAGTCTTGGAAAATAAATTTTTAAAATAAAAACTTTCGCCCAGCCAGTGTGGCTCAGTGGTTGAGTGTCAACCTATGAACCAGGAGGTCATGGTTTGATTCAGGGCACATGCCCGAGTTGCAGGCTCCGTCCCCAGTGGGGGGCATGCGGGAGGCAGCGAATCAATGATTCTCTTTCATCATTGATGTTTCTGTCTCTCTCTCCCTCTCCTTTCCTCTCTGAAATCAATAAAAATGTATTTTTTAAAAATAAAATACACATTTTCTGCTCTCAAAAAGCTACTCTTTCATTGGAGGACACAAGCATTCAAAGAGAGAGGCTATAATCTAGAATGATGTGGTATACTTAAGGCCTATACTGGACTCACTGGGCATAATGGACCCATGGAAAATGAGAAAATAAATTTATTTGGGAAATATAGGAAAGGATTTACAGATGAAGTAACATGTAAATTGAGTTAAAAAAAATGAGTAGCAGTTTTTCCAATAGACAAGTAGGGGCAAAGTATGAATGCCTTTTCTTCTTTTGTTGATCCTAACTTTTACAAGCTGTTACCCCTTTGACATTAGCCTAATATTTTTCATCTCTAATAACTACAATGCTGCTCAGTTTCCCATTTTCCAGGGTCTCTATAGATTATATATGTTGTTTGTTCTCGCTCTCAATGTGTTCCTCTGCCCTGGATTGCCCTTGCACTGCTAATTCGGTGCACTTTTTGGTCCTTCTTTGTAATATGCATTGTTCATTAATTTTTACATGCATAAAATATGCATTCCTAATGGTGACTTCCCTTCTAGGGCTCACTGGATTTAGAGCTCTACCTGCACCCTGAATTCAAGGTACTCAACTGAATTAGTGGGAGTCCCGCATTGAGTGATATGTGACGTAAGTTCAAGAAAGTGCTGGAAGGATAGTGAAAGCATTTTAGATCCAGCAAACCTTGCTAAGCCACCATGAATAGGAGCGTAGTGAGAAGACTAGGTAGGCGCATTGAAAAGGCAAGCAAGGCGACCCGCGTTTTACACGCAGCGTAGTTTTACGGGTCCGCCTCTTCTCTCTGAGCCTGTGGCTCCAACATCTTTTAAACAGACTAGTCCGCCCCATTCCCATCCTTCTGGATCGGAGGCTCTGCTACGCCGCCGTGGGCCAAGTCCCGGGCCTGCAGGGCAGGAAGGAGCGGGGCGGGGCCTCCAGGCTCCCAGCTGGGCCTGAACCCGCTTGGGGAAGCCAGTGTGGGGCCGACTGTTTTTTAGGCAAAAGCAAAGGGCGGGCGCGCCAGGCTGCCTCCCCAGGCTCTCCTTACTTGCAATTCCTTCCGCTTTGCTGAATTGGGAGTCGCGATCTGCAGCACAGGTGGGTCCCGCCCCGTGGATCCGGGAAGGGGTGTCCCGGGTGGGTGCGATGGGTGGGGTTTGCCCGGGCGCTTGCATGCAGGCCTGGCGCAGTGCGGGATGGCACGGTGGCTCCCACCCCAGCCGCTCGGGCCCGTGGGCGGCGGTACTCACCTGAACCCTGGCAGAGAAAGAGGCCACTCGCGCCTTGCTGCAGGGCCGTCCGTCGTCACGGTTCGGGCCAGTTGCGCGACAAAGAGTCCGCCCCGAGATCAGCGCAGGGCCAGATGGGCCTAACGCTGGAAAACAGCTGCAAGATCTGGAGCAAGCCCGCCTTGGGACTTGCGCCCAGTATACATTGTTTTAAACTCGATCGGACTTCCCAGTCCTGGATCTGAAACTGATTTGGTGTCGAGCTTTCAGCAAGTCCCTGCCCTCTCTCTCTGCTTCGCTCTGCTTGGCAGTGGAGAGGAAGGTGGCTGCCTGCAAGACCTTGCAGCACGGATTTTTCTTTCGTTCTAATATCCACTCATGTTCTCTGCCCAGATTTTACCCTTTGTCTGCCCCTCCTGAGCGAGGATGCCTTGCAAGTCAGGAGTGGCAGGGCAAGGCGTTGCGGAAGCTAGGCAAGGAAGTTCTCTCTCTAATGAAAACAACTCTGAAAAGCCTTTTTAATACTACTGCCTGCCCTGAACACTGGAAACAACATCCATTCAATGCTTAGTTTGAATGGCAACTCTGAAGAATGCTCTTGTGAATGCTTTACTATTAAAGATTTTAACTGGATGATTGTTTGACCAAAATGTTTTGTGTTCAATGAACATAATACACTGCTTAGCGAGTCTCATCAGAAAAGACCTGCGTGACTTTAGTGTGCCTACCCAATCGCTGAAAGAAAACCTTCAGCTCTCACATGTAGGAATACTTCCATAATCCATTCCCATACAGCAGTTTTTAGAGTTGCTTCTTACCTTGGTATTGCCCTTTCAGGAAACACGGTAGTAAAAATTACATACAATTTATTTTACATGACCTTAACTGTAAAGGCAAAGAAGAATTATAACCACCATGAGCCAACATTGTGGTGTCATTTTGACTCCTCTGCATGAAGGAACTGGTGATAATGAGAATGACAACCATATATTATGCAAAGCACTATAATCTGCAAAATGAGAGGTGAATGTGTTTATTGACCACCATACATAGAGAGGTTATACTTTATTTCATAACCAGTGTGATGAAGGGAATGTTCACAGGGGAGGTTGAGTCTGGGGGCATCCTTTGGGTACCCACCGCACTTTTTATCTGGGAAGTGTGGACTGGGATGGATCACTTCCTTGCTTTGGCATCTGTGTTAGGAACCACAAGCAGTTGTGTCTCTCTGCTTGGCAACCCTGGGAACAGCAGTAAAATATCCAAACATCACTCAGCCACTGCAGTGCTTCTAGCAGCTGTGTTTTCTGCCTGCCAGGAAGGGGTGGGGGTGGTGGTGCTGCTGGATTAATGCACCTTTTTGGTAGGAAGAGTCTCTTTCTGATGAGAGCCAAAGTGAACATAGATCCACCGGTTGAACCCCTTCGTGACCCTCTTTCTACAACACGAAATATTTCCCCTGCTCATATAGGCTGTACATGCACCTGCCATTGACCTCATGTAAGAATTTACAGAAGAAGGGGCTCTTGACAAAACCCCGTCTGTGCACACCGGCAGGTGCTATGTCAGGGGTGGCTGAGACGCGGTGGGTGTCCTTCAGGGCACGGGACCTGATGGTTTCCCAAACGGCTGATACATGAGAGGGAAATGGTGGTAGACGTCTGCTGAGTCATCCTTGAGGGTGAGTCTAGGACTGGCTGTTTGGCAGGACCTGGGGGATGCTTTGGTCATGTTTGTACTCTGTTCATTCATTCTTTTATTCCAAAGTCAATCAATAAATGCTTGCTTTGTGCCAGGATGCTGATCCACTCGCTGCGATTGGCAGCACGGGGGACAGTGAGTTCGGGAGGACAACAGGAATTCAGCTGGAAGCACGCTGAGTGGGACGCACCCTCACTCTGCCCATTCCCTGAACCCAATCAGTGCAAACTCTGGTCACTGCTGCCTCCTGGGTATTTTTAAATCCCACCCACTTCCGTTTGCCTGCCACTGCTACTCCAGATTTCAAGCCAGAATCATTCTTTTTTGGTGATTTTTAAACAATATGTTTTTGGGAGAGAGGGAGAAAAACATTGATGAGAGAGAAACATTAATCAGCTGCCTCCTGCACGCCCCCTACTGGGGATTGGGCCCACAACCCAGGTATGTACCATTGAACCAGTGACCTCTCGGTGCATGGGAGGACTGAGCCACACTGGCCAGGGTATTTAGTGATTTTAAAATTTTTGTTTTAGAAGATCTAAATCATTGCTGGACCCTCAGTCTTAATGGGAAAACCACCACTCCTACCATCACCACAGTAGCAGCAACAACAACATACAAGAGCCTAATGAGCTCTGTGTTATTCCTAATATAATGTCCAAGAGACAAACTCTTTTTCCTCTGCTTTCTAGGGTGTTTTTAAAATTGTGTATTAAGCCGAAACCGGTTTGGCTCAGTGGATAGAGCGTCGGCCTGTGGACTGAAGGGTCCCAGGTTCGATTCCGGTCAGGGGCATGTGCCTTGGTTGCGGGCACATCCCCAGTGGGGGGCGTGCAGGAGGCAGCTGATCGATGTTTCTCTCTCATCGATGTTTCTGACTCTCTATCTCTCTCCTCCCTTCCTCTCTGTAAAAAATCAATAAAATATATTTTAAAAAAATTGTGTATTAAGATATAATTTACACACCATAAAATTGACTCATTTTAAGTGTACACCTTTAAGGATTTTTAGTAAATTTGTTGAGTGGTGCAACCATGACCACAGTCCAGTTTTAGACATTTCCATCACCTCAGTGACATCTCTCTCTTACCCATTTGCACTTAATCCTTTTTACCACCCCCAGCCCCTAGCAACCATTAATCTGCTTTCTGTGCCTATGGATTTGCCTATTCTGAACATGTTATACAAATGCAATCATACAGTATGTGGTCTTTTGTGACTTAGCGTAATGATTTTAGGCCTTGTTTTCTTTTCTAATATATGCATTCAATGCTGTAAATTTTCCCCTAAGCACTAAAATTGCTACATCCCACAAATTTTGATAAGCTGTGTTTTTCTTTTTATTTATTTCAAAGCAGTTTTACATTTCTCTTGAGATTTTTTTCTTTGACCATGGGTTAAGAGTGGGTTGTTTAATCTCCACATATTTTGGGATCTCCAGTTATATTTCTGTACACATTGTATGGTTTCTATCCTTTAAAATTGTTAAGGTGTGTTTTTATGACCCAGAATGTGATCTATCTTGGTGAATGATTCATGTGAGCTTGAGAAAAAAAATATATTCTGCCATTTTTGGATGAAGTAGACTATAGATTTCAATTATATACAATTGGTTGATGGTGTTGTTGAGTTCAGCTATGTTCTTACTGATTTTATGCCTTCTGTATCTGTCATTTGTCTTTTTTAATATATTTTTATTGATTTCAGAGAGGAATGGAGAGGGAGAGAGAGATAGAAACATCAATGATGAGAGAGAGTCATTGATTGGCTGCCTCCTGCACACCCCACACTGGGATCAAGCCTGCAACCTGGGCATGTGCCCTGACCGGGAATCAAACCGTGACCTCCTGGTTCATAGATCGACTCTCAACCACTGAGCCATGCCTGGCCAGACAGATTCCAGTCTTTTAGTGACCCTATACCAGTTGGATAATTTTTTTTGCTTTGTTTTACAGTTGAAGCTAAAACATAGACATTTGTGGTTTCAATTTCTTAGCATGATTCTTGTGCTTCAGAAAAAAGAGAGGCAAAGTCATTGTTTTTCCTAATCCCTAATGTAGTCATTCTCCTCAAATGTCACTGCCAGTCATTCAGGAATCAAAATGCCTAGTTTTTTGGCTTGTAGACTTTCAGAAGAGGATGTTTCTTTGTAGTAAACATGAAGAGATTGAAGTTGACACATGTGATTACCTACTCCGACTAGAATTTCTAGCTGTGGCCATTGCCCAAGTGTTTGTGAATATTTTGTAATCAATGATTTTGGGGTCTTGACTTAATTTAATTAACATAAAAACGCATTGAGTCTTTAGTATATGTTTGGCCTGTGGGGATTACAAAGAAATTTGTTCTGTGACCTCATGGAATTTACAGTCTATCTGGAGAATCAAAGCTTACATTCTTGAATCAGTTAGGTCAATTCACTCAAGATAATACCCTCATGTTTGGTTCCAACAGTATGTGTTGTTGATCGTCGGGAAAGACAATAAATCTGTATAGTCCGGGTAAGGTAAGGAAGGCTTCTTTCAATGAATAGGACTTGAAATGGCCTTTGAAAAGTCAATAGAGATTTTACATAAAGAGAACATTCTAAGTAAAGTATTATGAGCAATACCATGGTCAGGACATTGAAACACCCCCCCACCAACTAGAATAGTTTGTCTCCTTGAATCACACATACCCACTTCTTCATCATGTACTTCAAACCATAAAAAAAGGGAGTCCTGGCGCATAAGTGGCCATTCACAGGGAAATCATAAGTCATTCCATTTGACTAACACTGGCCCATCTCCCACTTGACTCTCCAGAAACTCTCTTGTTTCTCCTGTTGGAACCTTTTCCTCATCCTTCATATTGAACACTCACGGTAACCTTCTTTGTCTCCTGACCACAATCTTATCTTTTCATATTAGTAGGTCATCCTTGGACTATCTCTGATGGTTTCTATTTTGGTTTTATCAGTGCTTACAACCTTCCACCTAGACACTGATGGGAATCCTCCTTGGGTTGCAATACCTGACCTTCATAAAGTCTATCCTTCAATCAGTAATTCCAGTAGCACCATGGTGTGATGTTGGAAGAGATGATGGTGCACCAGTAGACAATATATATGGCAAGTATGGCCCTGAGGAAAGAAGCTGCCTCCTTTCATATTAAGGATACCAACTGATAAACCAGCTAACAGAACACAAAAGTTCAGTTGCTAGCCTTGGAGTCATCTTGCTCCACTTACTCTCCCTGAAAAACATATACATGCACAGATACATGAATAAAGCCTTCGTTCGGTTTTCACTAGAAGGCACTAACACGTATGCTTCTATTGGAACTTTTTTTTCCTAACAATGCATCACAGCCGCCCAGATTTCATAATGATCCCAAGGCACTTAGGGGTGCTCTTCATTTATACCACATCTTATCCCACAGCATTTATGCATCTTGAAAAGGGTCTTCTCCAACACAACAGTACAGGAGACTCCACATGGGTGATGGGGTGCCTTGTCCATATGCATACTACAAGTCCTCAGCAGCCAAAGGCCACTCCCAAAGTATAGGTCGGTAGTCCCTGCTGTAAAGTCATTCTCTCTAGGGCAGTGGTTCTCAACCTTCCTAATGCCGCGACCCTTTAATACAGTTCCTCATGTTGTGGTGACCCCCAATTTCATTGTTACAAATTGAACATAATTAAAGCATAGTGATTAATCACAAAAACAATATGTAATTATATATGTGTTTTCCGATGGTCTTAGGCGACCCCTGTGAAAGGGTCGTTCGACCCCCAAAGGGGTCGCGACCCACAGGTTGAGAACCGATGCTCTAGGGTATAAGGGTGCCCCCTCCAGTGGGCACCAGGGTCAGTAGGCTTCATCCAGAAGCAACACCAGACCAACACCTGTGCTCAGCAGACTTACCAAATGGACATAGAATGTGTGGTTAATGTGTGTATGTGAGTATACTTAAGTATACTGAAGGAAGTATATTTAAGTTGCCAGTTGTAAGTCCTGGTGGAAGTATACTTGTGTTGCCAAATCCAAGCCCAAATTCTCTGCCTGTACCATTATACCATCCCAGTGTGCCTCTGTGACTCATGGAATAAGTCACTTAAAGATGTTTTGTGGCTCTGCATTTGACATTATGTCTTGTGGCATGCATAAACATGAGGTCTGTTCACTGTAGACAAGGACACACCAGGAAAACCAAAAGGGAAGATCCCCATACTCTTGACCAACTGCGGCTCGGCAAACCGTGGCTCTCGAGCCACATGCAGCTCTTTGGCCCCTTCAGTGTGGCTCTTCCACAAAATACCACATGCAGGCGCGCACATACAGTGCAATTGAAACTTCATGGCCCATGCGCAGAAGTCGGTATTTTGTAGAAGAGCCGGTATTTTGTGGAAGAGCCACACTGAAGGGGCCAAAGAGCTGCATGTGGCTCGAGAGCCACGGTTTGCCGAGCCGCAGTTTGCCGACCACTGCCCTAGACCACCCTTGTTATACATAAACTTTACCTCAACCTGTCCTGCCTGCCTCCCAGAACCACAAGCCATACTCTTTACAATAGGTGCACTGATGAAATTGGCCATGTCCTGCTTGACATTATTGTTTCTCACCAAGGGCCACAGTTGTCAATGCTTTTTAAACCCCAAATTCTTTAAACTCTTGCTTCTCTCTTACAGGATACTAAATAAAGTATATGTAACAGTGTTCATCTCCTTTCATGTAAAAAAAGATCTGCAACGTTTTCACCAGCACGGAGCCCAGTGGAAGGTCAGCAAAATGTCTAAAGCACCTTGTAATTCACCTCCATCTGCCTCCACCTGCCTCCACCTACCAGTTGCCTGTTAGGCTCAGTCACTAAAAGGGCCTTTGGTGGTATGTGAGTTGCGTGAGA